AAGCGTGTGCCCTAAACGAGAAAACAATGGGCGGAACTAAATAAAATGAAATTTTGAAAGGGGATCAGAGGTTATGAAGCCTGCGTATCACAGATAAGACGTCAAAAGACAAATTTAAAAAGCAGGCAACATATCCTAAGGGTGATTCAACATTATTCAAGTAGGAGAATTGGAACCACCCAACTAGAAAATGCCGAAAAGTTGAAACTAAAAATACCACAATCACAACAATAATGTCGTGCTGAACGATCTTCAAAAACCTTGAAAAATTTCTCTGAATTGACAAGAGGATGGCTAGAGGTTTAGATATTAGGCATGAAACATTGCATAGTGAACATCTACGGAGATTGTCCAAGTTATAGTTTTAGGGTTAAAATTGGTCCCACTGGGGGTTATTGATTTTCATCATGTTCTTATAGTAAAAACTTAAAAGAAGGTACAAGGCTTAGAGCTTTGATATATGTTATATAATATCATCTATAGGTCCTATAGGCCATGTGAAATATGACCTTCACCACCAAATTCACTAGCCTCAACTGCACTGATAGATCCCTTCTCTGACCTTTTATTTGAATAACATTAGATTTAACCACAAACATTGACATGTGCTCTTTTGTTAACAGATAGGTTGTGGTGAACTTGTTATTATATCCACTAATCTGATAATGATAATTAAATAGGTTGGAGATCTATGCATTTGGCAATTGTATAGAAACAAAAAAACTGTTCTGTTCCTACAATACTATTCAGTGTTGTATGAATGCGGTGGCATAACATTTTTCACAAATGCAATCTTGTTTATTATAAGAATATTCAACTAGTTTAGATTTTATAAGTGCTTTATTTTGTTTTGCTTTTTAAATATACAAAAGGAGCAGACCTGGGGATGATTATCTTGATCAGTAATTGATTTAATTACAATTACTTTCAGATTTTATTGTAATTGATTACAATTAATTACTCAGACTTGCCTCTGTAATCAATTAAATTACAATTACTTTGAGAAAGTAATTGATTGATAATTGATTACATTCCATGTATAACTATAAACAAAAGTTTCTTAATGCTATTTAATATATACATTATATACACAAAGGATTTCCAGCTCATCAACAGTCATCATTTTAACACACTTTTAGTTACTGTCACATCACTTTATCATATTTTAGCATTGCACTTTAGCATCATAAGTTCATGAAACCGTCTATCAGTCAGACTGCATCTATCAGGACGGAAAATTTTACCCGCAACACTAAACAAACGCTCTACAGGGGCCAATGATGCAGGGATGGTCCTCAGTCTTCTTGGTGTAGGTTTCAAAATGAACTCTCTGCAACAGAAATTTTTAAAAGTGTCAATTGTACAGTATACTGTATACAGGTGTTAAAACAGGTGTGAAAACAATAAATTTTTATATGGGAATTCAAAGAAACAATAGACTTTACAAAGAAATTATCAGTTTTTTTACAAAATATGATAAACAAGATCAACAAGGAAAGGCGGCGTTCAATGAACGCAACCCCCATATGACCCAGCAACAAGAACCAATGGCAAGGAGCCCAGGCGGACCCCAAACATAAAAAGGACAGGGCAACAACAGTATCCATTATAATATAGACACATTGTCTACCACCTTACAAAATAACTGTTGCATATAATTAAAATATGGTAATATGCATCTGACATAAACTCTAGAATATACAAAGTAAAGAAGTTATCTACATTGTTTGAAACTTTTTAAAACATGGTTTAACCAAAATATGTGAAACAAAATTTAACATACCTTTATGTGGGTAATGAAATTTGAATGTGACTTAGTGTTTCCATTTATCTTCTTAGGGCACAATTTGCACTGTGCTGTCACATTTCCAGATGTTTTTTTTAGGAAATTCAAAGACATCATAAATCCAATGATTTGACATTTTGGTTAGAATACCAGCCAAACAATGATGTCTATCTTTCAGTTAGAATTTGGTTAACTGTATGGATTAAAACTTATTTCTTCATTGTGAGTGATGTCTTAAAATGTCTCACTTGATATTTTACTACCTTAGTTAAACTGTAACATGTGAAATAAATCATTTGAATTTCAATAGTTTCATGTAAAATCTGAAAGTAATCAATATCAATCAAATTGTAATCATAATTACAGACTGAATTTAAGCTGTAATTGATTAATTACAATTAATGTAATCAATTTTGAGCAAGGTAATCAATTACATGATGATTACACTGTAATCATGTAATCAATTACAAAATCGATGATTACGATTAGTGATTACCCCAGGTCTGAAAAGGAGGTTTAGTTACCATTTTCTTATCAAGGTTTTCTGTTACAAAATGGCCCAAAAGGGAATCAAGATCATCCCTTTGCCTGACTAGGTTTGGGCCCAAACCTACGGGAAAGGACTTTTTTACCCGATAATTTGCGCCCTCTAAAAGGCAATTTAAAAACCAAGGGAAGAGGAACGGGTTTGGATCTCCAAACAACGTTTTAAAAAACGAAAGAAATTTTATGTTAAAGGGAAAGTAAATTATTTTTACATTAAAATTTCACATAAAAACCTTTTAAAAATTTACTAAGCGTACTAATGTTTTAAATTCTGGAAACAAGTGATCCCTCGAAGCTTTTAAACCCACCAAAATTTAACCTAAGAAGGCAGACTTCGGTTTAAATTGAGTCTGTACATGAGGGGATAAGAAAAAAAGTGCAACATTTTCAGCCCCAAAAGCCCCGGGCTTGAGGGGTACTCAATTCTAACCCCTTTTTTAGGGGGACACGAATTAGTTTTTTAAAAGCTGCGAAAACAATTTAATTATTTTTACCCAAAATTTGGAATTTTGGCCCCCCACCTTTGACACAATTGTCTTTAAACAATCCCAAAATGCAAGTCACGGGGGTTTTAATTCAAGACACAGCTTTGAAATTTTTAAAGTGTGTCCGGGTAAATTTTGGAACAGGGTTTGAGGGGCTCCCATTTGAAACAAAATCTTTATTTAAAGGCAGGTGTGTGTGTGATGAACAATTTAAGAAACCAGGAAAAGTTTCCCCGGCTCACTGCTTTTTTTGTTGTTGTTAATTTGGCGGGAGGTTTTTTTTTTGTTTGTTTTTTTTTGTGGGGGGGGGGGTTCTTAAGCTTGTTTTTGTTTTGTTGTTGTTTGTTGTTGTTGTTGTTGTTGTGCATCAATTTTACAATATATTTCATTAAATGCACATATTGCCTAAGAAACGAATACATTTATTCTTTAAAAAGGAAAAACGTAAGGTTTACAAAAAATGGTTTTCGCGTATGTTAGATGCCACCACTCACCTCAAGTAAATAAAGCGGAATTTGATATTATTTGTTATAAAGGTAGTACAATGTGACTATAATAGTATTTTAATTTATACAAAACCAGCAGGAGCAAAAGATGACAAGGATAATTGGCTTATAAAGAGTTTTTTAAAACTATGATAAGACGTCAAAAATTAAAACCTTTTGAAAAAATAAAAATAAGAGCTTTACTGTGTAATAATGAGCCTTTAATGAACTTAATAAAACAAGTCTTCGGTTTGAAACGTATTGTGTTTTCATTGTTCATATTAACACACATTTAAAGAAATGTTTGCATGATTCAGTTGAATAAAAGGAAAAACAATTAATACAAAATTATCAAAAAAATGAGGCAACAATGTTTCAGATCATTTTTTCATATCAGATGTGCAACAACTTCAAGGTGTAGACTCTCCAAGAAAGTTGTTTGACTGTCTAAAAAAGGGGAAGTTTATTGGTCAATACAATATATTATATATCCAGCAAATCGTTCGTGTTCTGGAAAGAGAAGATCTTGTCGGAATATTGAATAAATATGTGGAAGTGTTGGGGGAGGATAAAGTTCTTCATTTTATTGAAAAATCGAAAGAAACTGGTATAAACAACTTTGAATTACTTGATCAATGACTTTAGACATACTCGTAGGACAATTTCGATTTTTGAATTTCATTAAATGCATTTGAAATTTTTACCAGTACTAAAGATATGAAATATTTTTTTCTGACTTATTTTTCCTCTGTTATGTGAAAAATTTAACAAAATCTGATCAAACCTTCTATTTCAGTAAACGGCTATAGTCAGATCGAGTTTCATATCAAAGGTCACGGGATTTCAGATCCAACAGAAATTGAAACATTTCGGATAGAAGTATCTAGGTTACTGCTTTGTCCTCTCCATGAAGTCATTATTAATGGCATACAAGCAACGAACAGCACCGTCTTAACAATCATGATTCCAACAATGTATGCAACTTTCCTCGTAAAACAATTGGAAAAATACAGTCATCGCATCATTAGCTCAGTCATGGCAATAAACGTGGACACAATCACCGTCAATAATGATAAGTTTGAAATGCTGATCGAAGGTGTGTGTATAAATATTAACTTAATAACTATTCTCTACAGTATCTTCTCTCTCTCTTTAAAGAAAAACGTTTAAGTCCCCGTGATAAGTATGAGGGTGGCTGGATCATCCCCCTCATACAATGCATAATTTGTTTGTATGTTCAAAAAGGTTGATATAAATTTTTCTATCAATGATCAAGATTTTGTAAAATTATTTTGTCATGTTTTACAATAAAGGCAATAATTTATATCAAAACTGCGTTAAAACTAATAATTCCATACTATGATTGTCTTTCATCACTCAAAAGATTTATAAAATATTTATATCAACATAGATCTATACTAGTATTTTATTTAAATTTATGAACTAAATTTGAATATTGTATTTTCCATTATCAATTGATATATTAATAGTAAATAAAGAAATAAGTCAAAGAACGGTTCAAAATTATAAAAATTAAAATGTTAGCTCTAAGTATCTGTATTATAACAAGCGGCAAAAGAACAATTTATAAAGGCTAAGTGGTTTGTATTTGTTTTTTTTTAAGGAAAAATCTATAAAGCCAAGAAAGAAAGACGTGAACATGGACCAATTCAACTTGCTGAACAGGACTGTGCACCTAGGCGAAATGGTAACAAGCAACAAACAACAAATGCGCAGGCACTACTTAAAAATGAAAGAAAGAGGTCTATTATTGAAACAAGAAGTCATGCAAAACATGATAGACAAGTAAAACAATTGTCTCCACCCAGAAATGTTTTGGTAACTATTATACTGTTTACTCCCGACGGAACAAAACTAACCAACAACAAGTACTTTATAAAATATACTTCGTTATGATCCTTGTTTCATAATATAAGTCATTTTTAAGTCGGAATAGATTGGTCGTCTTAATCAAGTCTCTAGAGAAAATCCCTCTTAATCACATCATTCAGGTGTTCTCTGTAAATTTAAAAGGAAAACAAACTGCTTTAAGATATATACCTTCCCACAGTGACTTATCGGTAAAATATTAATGACCTTTCCTTTAAAAAGGAAATGCTTGCCCAGTTGTGCCATCATCCCATCCCTTTAAAAATGATTTTTTTTTAAAAAAAAAAAAACCTTCTAAATCAACTCTTTGTGATAAAGAAATATTCATAAAAAATAATAATAAATTGACCTTATAAACCAGTACAAAACAAGGTACCTATGTGTTTACGGAGAGTTTTCAGAAAAGCTTTACAAGCTTCCTAGTCAATCCGTAAATTTTATTTTATGTACTTTATTATAGAAATGTGTGGATTATAAATATTGTTTAAACTAACCATGTTACACCTAAAATATCTATGTCACTTGTCTATTGATCACAGATATACCGACAACACAGGACGCGCTATCTGTAGATCAGCACGTGATAAGGTTAATGATATGCATGGGCTATTTTTAGATTTCCGATCACCAGACGTTATACTCCACGTTAGAATTGCCACAGTAGATCTAGATATAACTCGATCGCTAGAGCTATGCAATTTTAACTCGTTCACACATATTCTCTGTGTGATTCGGTCACGATATTTTGGTAAGTAGGACCGTCCTTTGGAGACGGAATACTACTAGAGTAGCCATTCTCTATTGTATGAAACTAATAAAGACAAAAATTAATCATAAAAAAATAAACTTTTGTGTCTTGAAAACGAATTGAAACGGAACATTTTCGTTTATATGTTAATTTTTTCCCCTTTTAAATTAAACCTTTTTTTAACCCAAAAACAAGTAAAAAAGAAAAACCAAATTTTTTAGAAACAAAAATGGGTTACCCGAAAAAACTAAAAATATTTTGATTTCCGGAATTTTTTCTTCGTCTGAAATTTTCCCCAGGTATGACGGAAAAACGCCAGAATTTTTCCCCAAATTTCAGCGGGGAAAACCTTTAAAAAACGGGTTTTCCCGTTATCTGCCAAAAACAATGTAAGCAGGAAACCACCTAACCGGAACAACTTTTTCAAAACAAAAGCAGGTCATTATTCTTCATACATTTCTATCTCCCAAAATCCATGCGGCGAAAATTCGGTCAGGCGCAAAAGTATATATCTGTAAAGTGGCTACGCTTTTCGAAATGTGATTAAGAGGGGGTTTCTCCCAGTGTTTGCGTGTAATAGCTTGATTAACTTCGACCTCACGCTTGTTTTTTTCCTCTATGAAGTCTTGATATCTTTATTTGTTTAAAAATGTAATTAAAACAATTGTTTTCTAATTTATTTCAGAACGTCGTCTAACAGCTACTAGATGTTTGACAAAAATTCTTTTTCTATTGAAAATGTAACATATTTTGAAAGTAAAACTTTTACACACCTCTGATAGACAGTTTCATAACATTGCAACAGGACATTTTTATGTTTTGATCAAGCATACAATGTAATGATTTAGCTTATCCCAGCCAATATACCTTATATGTTGCAATATGTACAATAGAACGTGGTGCAAATAAATGCCATATGATAAAATTGTAACGGACACCACAAAATCCGAATTTTGAACATGTAAAATCGAAAAAATTGAAATTATTATTATAATTATTTTGAGTAACCGAGATGTTACTTGGGAGGTTTTAATTAAGACTGTGTAATTCAGTGTGTGTATCTTCCGATTTTTCCAAGAAGAAAATCTCACAAGTATCACGCCAAGGGGAGCAACAATTTATATTTAGATCAAGAAAGAATCGTTTATCTCACTTGGCAGAGGCGAAAATAAATGCTTTGTTAGTATAAAAATATTTGAAAATATTGAATGTTTAAAGTTTATTTACACAACTATCGAACACTCGTAATAAGATACAATTTCGAAGCTTGTTATAAAATACGTTGATTAGAATACAACTATCTCATTAAAATCATATCCTAAAAGCCGCTCCACTACCCTACGCTCGTAGCAAGAGTAACGGAGCCAAAACGATTATCCGATTTTTAATGAGATTGAGAATCAGCAACATATAGAGAAGCAACAACAATAATCAATTTGAATTGTGCTAAATTCAACATAAATTGATATAAATAATAAGCAAAGTGAAACAATGAAACGAAATCTTATTATTATATAATAACATATTTATGATTAAACAAAGTCTGAGGTCGAGTTATCTTTTTCTAATGTCAGAAAAACTACATAATGCTGAGAACATAAATCTTTAATCGTTATATATTGTACCGCTAGGACACATGTTGATCTTCTGCAAGAAAACTACGCCATGATAAAACCAACCAGGCTTTCATATATTTTAATTGTCACCACGCCTTTTTTGCGGACTCACGAAGTCAAAAAATCAGAACAGCACTTATTATGAAATGTAAACGATATTCAATCATTCATCTGCTTTGACAACTGCCTGATAACTATTTTTTATCATCTTAGTAACTAATTTTTGACGAAGAATGCTTCTTTTATGTGTGAGAACCAAGTAATGAATTTATAATATCTTTTGAATTTTTAAACAAGGTAATTCATGAAAAATGCACATAAAACATTTTAGAATTTATATTTTGCAAATAAATTTATCAGAAATAAAATAACTTTTATGTCATCGAAAGAAAACACTCCTCGCCTGATGTAACATGATGCAATGCCATATAGCATGAATTAACTATTGCTCAAGTCACATTTAACTACAATATATATAAAAGGTGCAGTTAAAATAAAAAATGTCTAAATGTGAAAATTCTGTGTGCGAATATGAAAAAACGGTTTGATAAATAGACAGACCACTGGATTTATTGATGTAAATTTAGAATCAGTGAAAAAGTTTAACACTAAAGAAAAGGGAGAAAAAACAGTTCGAGCTTCGAATGGAAATAAGAAACGTCTAAAAAAATGAGAACAGAAAAGATCTATTTAATATAAATTTGAATATGTTTTTGAAATCTTCATCAATTAACTTTGTAAATCTTTTTTGTATCCTACAAATATATTGCAAATTACCAACTTCATGCATCAAAGGATCTTTTTTTGCGTCCTTTAATGGTCTTATTTTCTATAATTGTTCGCGCATTGTAAATCATGTGAAAAAAAGGTTATTTTTCGTCATGAAAAAAATAAAATATTAAAAGGAACTCTAAAAGATAGTGAAAAGAAAGATGATGACAGAAATTTCAATTATTAAATCTGCTCAGATTTGAAATTCTTTAAAATGAAATCTAACAGTACTTACAATTTATTGTCATAATCATTGTTAACATATTAAATATAAAAATAACGTAGACGCAACCCCTATGAACAGATAAAAGAAATAACATGTTACAGACCGATACGGGACACCAAGAAACAATCAATTAAACAGTACAAAAACACGGTACCATTTCTTTTCCAATCATTTTATGGTTTTATTACGGATATATACGATCTACACTTATAGAATCGAAATACACATTTTTTATATACTATATTATTTTAATATCTACATTTGTTATATTACTTATACATAAAATATTGAGAAATATTGATGAAATAAAATGCGGTTTTTTTTTGTTGTTGTTTTTTTCATTTTCCGTAATTTCACTGGAAATATTTAATTCCCACTGCAGTGAAACATATTTTCATTATCTTTCCTGATATGTAGCCGGACACTCTTTGTCTAAAATCAGCTAATACACGAACTATAGACAAAAGTCTTTAAAAGTGTAATGTCAAATGAGAGAATAATGTTTATAATAAACAGAAAATTCAATATTCTATCATAAATACAGGTTTTATTTCATCTTGTGCTATGAAAGTTATCATATTTCATTCGTGGCTACCGCCCTATTGAAATGTTTAATTTCATACCACTCGATCAAACTGTTTTTATAGAAAAAATCTTAAACATCCTCTATTTATTTTAAGTGTCTATTGTAAAAGCAAGATAATATTATATCACTTTATATGAACATCTGCAAGTAGGTTAAATTAATCTTGAACGTGAACGTTTTTTCAACGATTGAATTGTCAAACAGGTGATAAATAATGTACCATTTAAAGTATATGGTTTTTTATGAGAACAGTATGCAATTCGTCATTATCGTAATTTAATTATTTTTGATTAGTTTATTTTCTGAATGTTAATTACGTCGTTCCTACAATGTCATATTTTTGGATGCGGTCAATAATGACTTGATCTGCGGCTTTCTCAATTAAAGTTCACCTACGTGAGTTAAATATTGCAATAATTGTTTATAATTGTAAATATTTATAGATATTATTGCAGCCGACTTCCGTTTGTTTATCTTTTAATAAAAAAATTACCTGTTTTCATTTGATATAAGCCTTTTAACCCCGAGTATGAGGAAGACTCTCTATCGCATGCGTGCTAAGTGCATATATAAATCAAGATAAAATGGTAAGGAATATTTGTTCTACACTTGACAATCAATTCAAACATTTGTGAAATATAAAATATAATTTCATGGGATGACACATAGTTTCTTCATTAAGACAACGTAAAATGATTGACATAAGGCGGGCCAGTTAAACGTTTTTCAATCTGAAACGGGGTTTTTGACAGATAAACATATATAAAGATAACATAATTGATATATAAGTGTTATATTGTGTTGTTACACTACATACCATTGTAAGGACTATAGTACATAAAAATGTTTTTAAAACTTCTGACCTTCTTTTGAAATTCATTTATTCAGTAGCGCCATCTTTAACATAGTATAACCACAATGAATACTATCAGGAATAGAAAAAAATGAATAACATAGTTGTTTTGCAATCCTTGCGATACTAGCAAAATCAAGGTTTAGAATTTAAAGACACTTTCCTGAATAAAACTTAAACTTGAACAATGAATTGGCTTTTTGTAAAAATATGTAAACTGTTTGATCATCTGTCTTAACCTCCTTATGAAGCATATTTTTCTATAAATTATTTAGAAACAAATTATAACATTCAGCAAATGTTTTAAATATGTAAAAACATGTTGCCAAACCAATTATTTGACCATATTTTTGCTTTGAGAATTTGATAAGCTATATAAAAGCTATTTGTAGATTATATAATAAAGAAGATATGTACTTTTTACTGGTGAATAAATGATGTGATATGCGCTGAACAATTAATATTGATTTTTTTTAAATTAATGTTATTGCTTATGCCGGAGGCCTTAAAGTGAAATAACGTATTTTATTGTACGTGTATTGTTAATAATATTATTATTTTAATATTTCAAGTTTATAAGTTTGTTAGACCACATGACCCGTGATCATATAAAATACAATATATTTATGTAAATATAGCAAGACAGTGTGATATTTCAAAAGCAGAAAAAAGACTTAGACTTGGTGGTGCTAGAGCACAGAATTTGCATGGTATCATAGCTAAATTCCATGACTTAAAAGAACGTGAACAGATAAGGTTCGAACCTATGACAGGGAATTCAAAAAACGACTGAAGGAGCTGGAATGAAAATCCTTCAGGCGTAATGGGAAGCAAAAAATGTGTTCACTGAACATATTGACTCTAAAAAAAAAACTTGATAAGAAGGACATAAAATTGTTGGTAATAAACTATAGCAGACATAGAGATGGTTTGATGGCGAAATACTAGATCGTGTTAATTAGGGAGGTCTGAAGGACATTCAAATACTTTCATGGAATGTCAATGGTTTGTCAATGGTGATCCAGATTTCTTAAACATTGTGACATATTATGACGTTATATTCTTGTAGCAAACGCGATTATCTAAAGATAATGACATTAATTTAAATATTGAAGAATATGACAGTATACATTTATACATGTATGGTAATAAAGCCCGTAATGTGCGTAAAGGCAGATACAGCGGGGTTATTCAATCGCTGCGTAAATATATACGTACTATAGAAACAATTAAAAATGGTATCATTTGGTTTGAAATATAAAAAAAACTGTTTAATTTTTCAGAAAATGTATATTTATTTGTACATATATCCCCCAAGTAATAATTCTGTAATTGTCTCAGTTTTATTTTATTTTATTTTTTTGAAAAAGAAATTGAAACGGGTATCGAGATATATAAATCAAAAGGCAAATGTTTTATTTTTGGCGACCTTAATTATCGTACATCAGATACAAATGATATCCTGAATTATAATCAATATCAGTATTTGTTAAATTTTTCAAATAAACCACTGCGTGTTTCACGCGATATAATTGAAAATGCAGGCAAACGCTTGACAGAATTTTTTCAAAGTACGTCTTTAATTTTAGGAAATTTTTCGTTTGCATAATTACCTAGATATCGGTGCTTTTACCTTTCATTCAACAAGAGGTAGCTCAACGGTTGTTTATTTACTGTTACATGCTTGTGATATCGAATATATTTCGGATTTTGACATATTTTTACCTAATGAGTTTTTTGATTTAAGCATGCCACGCCAAAACAACATCAGGTACATATGAACCTGACTGAAAATATTATCAGAATAGATTAAACTAAAATTACACATTTCCAAGAGAGACTTAAATCGACGCGAAATGACATAAACAAGCTTGAAGTCAAAATTGATCAAAATGAAGATATAAATTTTATATCAAATGAGTTCATTGACATATTGAAGGGATATCAACGTCCGTATTCGGAAAAATTCTTAAAACCTTAAGAAACCAAGTTACAAAAAGTACATGGTATGGTTTAATCAAGAGTGCTATGAAGCACGGGCAGTGTATAAAAGAGCAACAATTGTGTTTATAAAACGTAAAGATAATCAGCAATTACGCGAAAAGTATATATCTTTAAAGAACAATTACAATAAAATGAAACGAAAACAAAAGAAGCGGTATAACTATCAGGAAAGCATACAACTAAATAAAATAAGCAAATTAGAACCACGTACGTTTTGGAACAAAAAAAGAGATCGATATACTAAAACTAGCAAGAAAGCTGCAAGTTAAAAACGACCGATTTATAAAAGCATTTTAAATCATTAAACAGTACAATGTATATGATAATGTAAATTACGGTCAAAATATCATAGATGAGGATCTAGACAAAGAAATAATTATTTCAGAAATAGAGAAAGATATTTTCAGTCAAAAAGTCTAAAGGCAGTGGTGCTAAATCCATAGTGGCAGAAATAAATAAGTACTCTTATCCAGAAATATCAAACTGTATGCTTAAGTTGTTTAACATAATCTTTTTGACAGAAGAGAATACACTCGGAGTTAGGACTAGGCATCATAGTGCCGATACAGAAAAATGGTCAAGTGGTTGAAGATGCTAAAATTGTCGAGGAATAGCATCAATCAAAAACCTATTTATAAATTCTACTAAATTGTCTCACTATATTGTCTATAAAAAACATAATAAAATAACGGATCATCAGTATGGGTTCCAAAAGAATAAATCAACAATAGATTGCAATTTTAATTTAGTAACACTCAATTATAGTAGAAATACTGTCATTAAAAACAATATATGTTGACATATATGTCACTTACTAGGTTAAGATTATCAGCAGCCAATTTAGCGATAGAGACTGGCGGGCATGATAACTCTCCTAGAGAAGATAGAAAATGTTAAAATTGCTCCATGAATCAAATCGAAGATAAATACCATCTCATGTTAGTATGCCCAAAATAATATGATCTGCGCAAAAAGATATTAAAATATATTGCTGCATATGGCCAACACTACGAAAATCAAAAAATCTCATAATAAGTAAAAAAAACACGAAAACACTCAACAGTACAGCACACTTTTTATTTTGTGCATTTAAGACCACAGAAACATTTATTGTATTATTTAAACATATATATTATACTTACATCCTCTGTTTAATTTGTATTATGTTGTACACTGTAATTCTATGTTACATGCCTTATAATAATTTGTACTATTTAAACATGCACATTGTTTTTGTATGTGACTAAATCTTATGTAGAGAAACTTGTGTCGTGCTATTTGTAATCTTTGAAATAAGCAGAAAACATATAGTAACATGGTGTATCAGCATATACCTATATTGTCGGTCTTTAGTTTCGAAATTTTCAAAAGGCTGACACAGATTGGTCGATTACCTCGAGATACACTACCAATGTTTCAAACTTAAAAGACCTTGACTTTCGAACTGTTTTCGTCAAGGTAACATGCTCAAGAATGAATCATATGAATTGTATTGTATAAATAAAAGTCCTTACATAAGCTCTGTATTGCTTTAGATAAAGTAAATAAATAAAGTAATGTTTATAGCTGCAAATCACAATATTTAGCAATACTTTTTTGACACATGTTTGACACATTGACAGTTTTATATCTAATTTTGTTTAAAAAGAGGGATACGAATTTTGCAAGGGAAGGGAAACAATCCGCACAAAAATAACCTATTAACACTTGC